TAACTCTGCTATAATAGACAAGTAGTCTGGTAACTCTGCTATAATAGACAAGTAGTCTGGTAACTCTGATGTAAAAGACAAGTAGTCTGGTAACTCTGATGTAAAAGACAAGTAGTCTGGTAACTCTGCTATAATAGACAAGTAGTCTGGTAACTCTGCTATAAAAGACAAGTAGTCTGGTAACTCTGCTATAATAGACAAGTAGTCTGGTAACTCTGCTTTAGTAGACAAGTAGTCTGGTAACTCTGCTATAGTAGACAAGTAGTGTGGTAACTCTGATGTAAAAGACAAGTAGTCTGGTAACTCTGCTATAGTAGACAAGTAGTGTGGTAACTCTGATGTAAAAGACAAGTAGTCTGGTAACTCTGCTATAATAGACAAGTAGTGTGGTAACTCTGCTATAATAGACAAGTAGTCTTGTAACTCTGATGTAAAAGACAAGTAGTCTGGTAACTCTGCTATAATAGACAAGTAGTCTGGTAACTCTGCTATAATAGACAAGTAGTCTGGTAACTCTGATGTAAAAGACAAGTAGTCTGGTAACTCTGTTATAATAGACAAGTAGTGTGATAACTCTGCTATAATAGACAAGTAGTCTGGTAACTCTGCTATAATAGACAAGTAGTGTGGTAACTCTGCTATAATAGACAAGTAGTGTGGTAACTCTGCTATAATAGACAAGTAGTCTGGTAACTCTGATATAAAAGACAAGTAGTCTGGTAACTCTGATGTAAAAGATAAGTAGTCTGGTAACTCTGATGTAAAAGACAAGTAGTCTGGTAACTCTGATGTAAAAGACAAGTAGTCTGGTAACTCTGATGTAAAAGACAAGTAGTCTGGTAACTCTGCTATAATAGACAAGTAGTCTGGTAACTCTGATGTAAAAGACAAGTAGTCTGGTAACTCTGATGTAAAAGACAAGTAGTCTGGTAACTCTGCTATAATAGACAAGTAGTCTGGTAACTCTGCTATAAAAGACAAGTAGTCTGGTAACTCTGCTATAATAGACAAGTAGTCTGGTAACTCTGCTTTAGTAGACAAGTAGTCTGGTAACTCTGCTATAGTAGACAAGTAGTGTGGTAACTCTGATGTAAAAGACAAGTAGTCTGGTAACTCTGCTATAGTAGACAAGTAGTGTGGTAACTCTGATGTAAAAGACAAGTAGTCTGGTAACTCTGCTATAATAGACAAGTAGTGTGGTAACTCTGCTATAATAGACAAGTAGTCTTGTAACTCTGATGTAAAAGACAAGTAGTCTGGTAACTCTGCTATAATAGACAAGTAGTCTGGTAACTCTGCTATAATAGACAAGTAGTCTGGTAACTCTGATGTAAAAGACAAGTAGTCTGGTAACTCTGTTATAATAGACAAGTAGTGTGATAACTCTGCTATAATAGACAAGTAGTCTGGTAACTCTGCTATAATAGACAAGTAGTGTGGTAACTCTGCTATAATAGACAAGTAGTGTGGTAACTCTGCTATAATAGACAAGTAGTCTGGTAACTCTGATGTAAAAGACAAGTAGGCTAGTAACTCTGCTATAAAAGACAAGTAGTCTGGTAACTCTGCTATAATAGACAAGTAGTCTGGTAACTCTGATGTAAAAGAAAAGTAGTCTGGTAACTCTGCTATTATAGACAAGTAGTCTGGTAACTCTGCTATAACAGACAAGTAGTCTGGTAACTCTGCTATAATAGACAAGTAGTCTGGTAACTCTTCTATAATAGACAAGTAGTCTGGTAACTCTGATGTAAAAGACAAGTAGTCTGGTAACTCTGCTATAATAGACAAGTAGTCTGTCAGCTCTGATGTAATAGACAAGTAGCCTGTTAACTCTGATGTAATAGACAAGTAGTCTCTTAACTCATCTATTATAGACAGGTAGTCTGTCAATTCTGCTGTAACATATAAGTCTGTCTTTGGCCGAGGTTCCAGCTACATTGCAGTGGGGTCACCGCAAAAGTCTGCTTGTCAGTAATCACTCAATAAAATTTCAATGTATACATAATCAAGTCGTCTGTTTTAATAGCAAAAGCTCGTGCACATATTATAGTAAGTATCCCGGCACCCAGAAGTTAGGCAATCGCAGTTACAATTTTATAGTAAACGGGCCACCCCCTAGTTCTCTACTCATGTGCCAACAAAAGCCACACAGAATGCCTATCAATATCACTTGTGTAGAAATTGACACAAACTGCAGTCTCAGTAAGGCAGTCGTCAGAAGTGGTTTTATAAGGTTGATGTTGCAGATGAGTAAGCAGCCGAGACCTTTATAACGTAAAAGACAAGATTTCTGGTCTGTATATCCTCTCCGGGCTGCTCCCTAAAGGTCTGATAACCCAAGGAATCATTAGCACACAAAACCGGCCATCTTTCCAAGTCTTCTGCTTCTCAACAAGTGTATGTGTGGGTTCTGGGGCCCGGTTGTTGGGAACAAGGATGTCGTAGGAGACGACTAATTGGGGCCTTCCTTCAAAGTCGGAATGCATCTGTCTGAGCGGAAAGGAAAAACCAACTGCACAGAAATCTACATCATCATCAGATGCCTTGCCGATTGGCGTGGGCGATCATGAATCTCCATAATCCACGAATCTCCTGCAGCATGTATCAGTTCGTGTGCCGACACACCTCCATGCACACAAATAAGCTAGTAAAACAGATGTACACGCAACAACTCAGGCCATAGCACATAGTCAGTCCGAGTGCAACAACATCCAGGACTTTCCGCCAGAGCTTACAGTGGGTGAACTAAGAAGAAGAAGAAAAACAATTGTGTAATAATTTAGTCTTACCTATTTCTTAATGTTGTCATTACAAGTTCTTCTTTGCCCCAAGCCTTGTTTTTTCGACAAACCCGCCCAGACCCAGTGTTGGCTGAAGTAGTCATTGGAATCGAATTGTGTCTTACCGTGTGCACGAAACAAACTAGCTTACGACGTTTCATCACTGCTAAAAGAGGCCTCCGATATCTTGGAAAAATGTTTATATTATGTATGTTACATATTTATTAGTTTTATGTTCCAACAAATCTAATTCCTATTCCCGGCCCATCTACAATTTTCTCAGGCTGATATACCTTAAAGGGGGATCACGTTTACTGTATATTCGAAAGGACTCTCTCGTGGGACCTAGGCTATAGCACGTCCGGCTTTATTGTTATATTTAATTGGCACACTTATTCACCTCAAAAATCACGTATAGTTCTATAAAATATGTCGAAAATTAATGAAACTGTAGTTTAATTTGCGTATATATCTCCTCGATGAAAACTGTGGACGCAGAGGGACTCAATTCTTGCACAAGGACGGGAATTCCCGTTCGAGCTGTACGGCCTTATAAATCTGGAGCTGGCCGTGGCTAAAGGTAGCGTGGTTTGGGTTAGGGCCAGTTCTAGATGTTCTGCCATCTTTAAAAGCTGTGCCCCCGTGTGGTATATAGAACACGTGACATCGGCGAAGATGTAATTGGAGGTAAGACAACTTGACATCCCTCCGACGTAGACTGGTCAGGTCAAGCATGAATGAAAGGTCAACCAGTGTGTGATGTGCCGGGAAACGTGAATAGGACCAATCCGTCTATAGCAGTGGTTCTCAACCTTCCTAATGCCGCCACCCGTGAATACAGTTTCCCCATGTTGTGGCGACCCGTGAATACAGTTCCTCATGTTGTGGCGACCCGTGAATACAGTTCCTCATGTTGTGGCGACCCGTGAATACAGTTCCTCATGTTGTGGCGACCCGTGAATACAGTTCCTCATGTTGTGGTGACCCGCGAATACAGTTCCCCATATTGTGGCGACCCCTAGCTATACAATTATTTTCCTTGCTAATTCATAACTTCAATGAATATGTGTTGTGTTGTTGTCTTTGGCGACCCCTGTCAAAGGATCGTTCCACCAAAAACAAAAAGGTTCGCGATGCACAGGTTAAGAACCGCTGGTCTATAGCATCTACATTCGAAAGCCTGAATCGTCTTCTTTTCCATTTCCAGTGAGCCATCGGGCTCAGGGTTCTGTAAAAGGACCAGCTTACTTGTTGATTGTAATGAAGATTATAGTGATGGTGGTGATGGTTACAAGTATATGATCCTACACTCCCAAGAAAATGCATGCATTTTTTGTGCGTATGTATGTACAGTTACTTGTACGTCTAATGAGTATATTTTACACCCACGTTATCACTCTCTTACCATTTCCGGTAACCTGTATTTGCGTTAAATCCCCTAGGGAAACCACATTGATCAGCCCCGACCAAAATAAACATACATATTTCACATACCTAGGGAAACCACGCAGTATCTTCTCTCATATCTATCTGATTACTGGAACCACTCAATGTATTGTGCAATGTCTTGCGGCTGCACCGAAAGCCGGCGGCAATTACTGCAGGTTAGATACGCCTACACACGACAGCCGGCGGCGTCGTCTTGTGATTTGATACATAAAGCAGTAGATTTCTTGGATGAGATGACGTCACCATCGTGACGAAAGTATGTCAAGGATGGAGAAACCCCCTGCGGGATTCCCAACCTGTAAGTTGGCAAACAGAGAAAGAGGGCTTCAGAGGAAACTGTGAGTTCCACACACGTATTAAAATCATAAAGCTCACACAATCTACTGTATAAGGTGAGGCGCAGAAGTTAAGACAATAATATAGATTGCCGTTTAACGTTGAATTCGTGTATTATTTCAATGTGTAATTTGTATTTGTGCGTTACGTTGCTGAGAAACCATGTGAACATTTAAGTGACGCCGCAGTACGACAGCGCTAACGCAGGAATATGCAAATATCGAAGGGCGTGATTCTGTTATAGGGGGAGTGGCTTGTGGCACAAAACCACGTTTTTTATTTCGGTTCCATTCACAAAACCAGTTGTACGGAGCCTGCAGCCGGTTGTGTTGCTTTCTTGTATAAACAGTAGCGTTCATGTTTTCCCTGTCATTGCTTTGCTTCTGCATTGCATCGAGGAAAATTTATTAGACAAGAATTGCATCTAACTACATGCATTTACCTTCAGCGCAGAGTGGTTTAGCACCATTCCAAGACAATACTTGTACTATGGCAGATAAAGAGGTTTTGGCGTGTGAACGTGCAGTTTCTAACGTTATTAGGGACTATTCGAGAGAACTAGTGAAAACTGGGAGTCCGAACTTCTTGTGTTCAATTCTTCCTTCACATTGGAGATCTAATAAAACACTACCAGTCCCGTTCAAGGTTGTGGCTCTTGGAGAGATTAGGGACGGGACAAAAGTTTGTATTACCGCGGGCAATGATGAAAATGTTTGCTGTGAACTTCGCAATAATACAGCCATCATGAAGAACCAAATGGCCAAGTTTAACGACTTAAGATTTGTTGGGAGAAGCGGCAGAGGTAAGTTTAGATTGTATTCTCTTAAACTGTGATTGTCTTGTGTCACTCCAGGTAAAAGTTTTTGCTATCTACCTGTCTGTCTGTCTGTCTGTCTGTCTGTCTGTCTGTCTGTCTGTCTGTCTGTCTGTCTGTCTGTCTGTCTGTCTGTCTGTCTGTCTGTCTGTCTGTCTGTCTGTCTGTCTGTCTGTCTGTCTGTCTGTCTGTCTGTCTGTCTGTCTGTCTGTCTGTCTGTCTGTCTGTCTGTCTGTCTGTCTGTCTGTCTGTCTGTCTGTCTGTCTGTCTGTCTGTCTGTCTGTCTGTCCTGTCTGTCTGTCTGTCTGTCTGTCTGTCCTGTCTGTCTGTCTGTCTGTCTGTCTGTCTGTCTGTCTGTCTGTCTGTCTGTCTGTCTGTCTGTCTGTCTGTCTAATCTATCCGTCTATCTGTCTGCCTATCTGTCTGGCTCTCAATTATCCGCCTGTCTGTCTGTCTAATCTATCCGTCTATCTGTCTGCCTGTCTGTCTGGCTCTCAGTTATCTGCGTGGCTCTCTCTCTCTCTCTCTCTATATATATATATATATATATATATATATATATATATATATATATATATATATATATATATATATATATACATATATATTCATTTTGCTTGACGGCTGTTCAACTGTATGTTTGTCAGTTTATCTGTGGTCTGTCTAATAATTTTGCCTAGTGGCTGCTCGACTTAATATATCTGTCTGTAGCCAGCTTAGATCATGTTCTATCACTTGTTCCTGTGTCTGCTTGTCTGTGTGTCTGTTCGTCTGTCATAATCATCAGATGTTACTTCCATCCTATCTACCCTAAAGTCTGTCTACGTTAGAGGGGAAAAACAACTGCTTTATGGCTGAACACTTTAAAATAATAACAGAGAAAGAATGACGGCAAATCTCAAAACAATGGAACAGAAAGAATTCAGAAATATATGTCCTATTTACGTTTCTCGGGACAGGCATATCGTAATTGGACTTTCATTTATGCTTTCTAAGGCTGAATGAAAGGTCAGTGTGTAGCTGGGCCGGGAAACGAAATAGGACGAAAATATATAAAATATGAAGATTAACCAACGATATGCTGTGTTTCCTAATGCTACAATACTTACAGGATCACTTTCGTTATAGAAAGGTTTCAGACTACCAACATCTAAGGTTCCCCCTAACGACTCACCTCATCGCTTCTACAGAGAGGAACAATATATTATTTTACGACTAAGAGCAGGGCACAACAGATTTCGCCAACATGTTTGAACTAGTCGGTTTATGAAACTGTGGAGATGTGTCCCAGCAAATGCTGAGCATGTACTCCAACACCGTAGGTCTGCGGTCATCGATCCCCTCCAGAGCCGCTGTAGGTAGGGTTAACACCAAAGGATGAGAATCAAACGGACAAATTCCAGAAACCCAGGTAAACCGTAATACACAGATATATTAGACCCTCTGTGAAAGGGTCGTTTGACCCACACTCACACACACACACACACACACACACACAAGGGGTCGCGACCGGCAGGCTGAGAATCGCTGTTTTAGACGAAGGATAAGAGTATCCTCGACAGAAAAATAAACGAGTAATTCTTTGAAAGAAACAGGAAGAGAGCTGATTACCACACAGGAAGAAGACTATCTACATTCTTTGGTCATGTCATGAGCACAAAAACAGAGTACATTGTAACAGTGGCAAAGTTGGAGGGAAAAGAAGGACAGAGAGACCAGAGCGAAGATGTAAACAGTTTGACATCATGGGATAAAAAATACTGTGTCAGAGCTGATTACCACAAGGGAAAAAGACAGTCTATATTCTTTGGTCATGTCATGAGCACAAACACAGAGTACATTGTAACTAGGGCTGTGCTGAAAATTCGCTTCGTATTCGCTTCGGGGCCGAATAGTGGGCCTATTGACTATTCGGTATTCGGCCGAATAGTTGCGGTCGGGCCGAATACGAATCGTAGTTACCTTACACCCGCTTCTGCATACACTGCCTTAATGGTGGCAACATGGAAGGATTGGTTTTGTTGAAAGCTCATGCAGCTTTCATGCATTAACCAAGCTGTCAGTGACAATTTCCAAATTTAGTTAATTGTTATAATACTTAGGATACTTTCATTACTAGTTATTAGTTACCACAGACTGACTGAAGGATGCAAAAAAAATTGTTTTAAATGTTTGCTATTCTATACGAATACTAACTAGACATGGGAAGAATATAAACCCCGACCACACCCAAGTCGATAATATGAAAATCAAACGAACGGAAACATATAAGTACTTGGGTGCAAACTTCAACTGCTCTAACATGCTGAGAGAAGAAATACAATCTAGAATACAATCTAGAAATAAAGTATACTATCCCCTTCAACATCTGCTAAAGTCAAATTGCTATCTCCCAACACCAAGATCAAAATATATAAAACGTTGATAAGACCATTCTTTTTATATGGCTCTGAAACTTGAAGCAGAAATAAAAGAGTTGCGGCCTTATTACAGGTTTTCGAAAACAGTCTTACGACAAATATTTGGACCCATCAAAGATACTAACAGCGGGGAATGGAGAGTGAGAAAGCAACAAAGTAACACCTAATCTGTTTAAATCACCATTGATCACTGGCATCATGAGAGCTAACAGACTAAAATGGTTGGGGCATATTGAAAGAATGTCAGATGACAGAGAAGTAAAACTGTATACACCTGAGAGAGGAATGGGCCAAGACCTCGATACAGACCCCAAAAAAAAGTTCGAGAGAAAATGTCCAGTCAGACCTGCAAACAACTGGTGTCACAAATTGTGAAGAGAAGGCCAGCCAGAGAGATGAATGGAGACGAGTTATATCTGCAGCAGTAAACCTCAAGGGCACATAATGCTAAAAAAGTAGATGACAATTATGTGCTACTTTATGTGAAGTAAAAGTTCAGCGTACATTTGACATTATGAATGTGTGTGTGTGTGTGTGTTTTTCTTTTTTTCTTTTCAATAGATATATTTTATACACTATACACTATTCGTATTCGTATTCGGCCGAATAGTTGGTCCCGTTATTCGCATTCGGCCGAATAGTGAAAATCACTATTCGGTACAGCCCTAATTGTAACAGTGGCAAAGTTGGAGGGAAAAGAAGGACAGAGAGACCAGAGCGAAGATGTAAACAGTTTGACATAGGATGAAAAATACTGTGTCAGAGCTGATTGAAAGTACACAAGACAAAAGACTGTGGTTAGATAGGTCTACCAACGCCACACGGCATGAACTATCACTATAACAAAAAGAAGTGTGGAGACTTTTCTTTACACAAGCATCTCATGCTAGCAACATTCACCATCTTTAATGGTGAGTACCGGCACTTTGTAGTGAGTACCGACACTTTATTGGACACTTTATAGAGAGTACCGACACCTTTTTAGACACTTTGTAGGAAGTACCGACACATTATTAGACACTTTATAGTGAGTGCCGACACCTTATTAGAAACTTTATAGTGAGTACCGATACCTTATTAGACACTTTGTAGTGAGTACCGACACCTTATTAGACACTTTATAGTGAGTACCGAAACCTTATTAGACGCTTTATAGTGAGTACCGACACCTTATTAGACGCTTTATAGTGAGTACCGACACCTTATTAGACACTTTATAGTGAGTACCGACACCTTATTAAACGCTTTATAGTGAGTACCGACACCTTATTAGACGCCTTATAGTGAGTGCCGACACCTTATTAGACACTTTATAGTGAGTACCGAAACCTTATTAGACACTTTATAGTGAGTACCGATACCTTATTAGACACTTTATAGTGAGTACCGACACCTTATTAGACACTGTATAGTGAGTACCGACACTTTATTGGACACTATGTAGTGAGTGCCGACACCTTTTTAGACACTTTATAGTGAGTACCGACACCTTATTAGACGCTTTATAGTGAGTACCGACACCGCTTCGATACTGCTGCGCCCAAAATATAGAAACAACATTTAAAATATCAAGAACGGGATGAATATCTGCTTTTTGGTATTTGGTAAAGTAGCCCCAAATATAATATTGACCTCGTTACCTAAATATGGGCTAACGGCGAGTTCGTTAGTTAAAAAAAAAAGTTTATATTTAACTCTCAGTCGTTGCGTAACCAAGGCTGTAGCCAGAAATAGCTATATCACTTGGTGAGACACATTATGATTCTAAAAACATACGTCTTAAAACAGCAGTATGTATGTTTGACACACGTTGGTTTCCTTAAATAGGGGGGGAGGGGGGGGGGGGGGGGGGTTAGCTCATCAGCTGCGGATTGTGGTAAATAATGTCAACATCCCCAATTATGACACTTGCAGTTTGGCTACTATGTTTGAACTGGGCCTATTTTGTACAACTTCCACATCACTGATCGATCAAGCGGTTGGTCAAATCCGGGTTACACAATAAAGGTTTATCACACCATCATGAGATTTAAAAAGTCTCAACCTGGACCAGACCTACAAGGCATATTCCAGATATTCTGTTCAACCTGCAAAAATAAATTTCTTACTAGGTCACTCCTAACGGCTAAACCAAAATAGGTGTGACCCGCAGACCTATGAGGGTAAGGTCGAGTCTACATCATTTGCCTAGGCAGAGTCGCACAGTGACCTGTGTTTTCTGATTTGCCTAGGCGGCAAGAGTGCTAGAGGTTCCGGGTTCAAGCCCCGGTTAGGGCTGGAATTTTTTTCACGTGCACTTCTGATAGTTTCCCCCTGGTTTCTGGGTAGTAAGATCGGACGCCCGTGTGTATTGTGCACACTGTTTGTCAAGAAAACGATCTGAGCACATTTGGGCTCGTTCGGAGTGCAGCCAGGACAAAAATTAAGGGACCTGTTTCACGCCAATTTAATTTTCTGGTGAATGCTTTTATAGACCAATCGTCATTCTATTATTTTATTAATGATGTGGTCAAAATGAAACTTGTCACCTTTGCTTCCCCAGACATTGCCTCAGATCCATTTTTTGGC